AAAAATTTTTTTTCAAGTTTTTTTTATTGTGAATTGAGTGATAGTTTACGTGGGAGAACATTGGCTTTATACCATTGCTTCATTGCAGTGATTACAATCTCCTCCATGCATCATCATTCAACAGTTTTTGCCTCTATTCCCTCTTTTTTTTTTGGATGTACACAAAAACACTCAGGAATATGTAATAAGTTAAACAACTAAAGGACACATTCTGCAAGCCTGCCTCCTGACCGCAAGCCCACAACCTTTCTCTTTCAATGGGTTTAGAGTCCTCAGCTGCTATATCTCCTCACGTCCTCATCACTGCCTCCATCTCTGGTATCGCTGCTTCTCTAGATAAGTTCCCATATTCCACTCTTGTTCTTCTCCCTTTATGGTCCTAGGGTATTCTGTTCCTGGCTCTCTTTTGTAGGTAACTTTTCATTTTTCCCGAGCTGCTCTCAGGATCGTTTCCTTGCCTTTGATTTTGGAAAGTTTAATTATGATATGTCTTGGTGATTTTCTTTTGGGGTTTGTTCAATTTTTTGTATTCTCATCTTCTTGTCTTTTGTGATGTTAGGGAAGTTTTCTTCCAACAACTCTTCGACAATTTTCTATGTGCTTATATCTTTATGTTCAGTAATTCTGATCACCTGTAAGTTGTTCCTCTTCATGCTGCCCCACATAAGTCGTAGACTTCCTTCAGAATTTTCATCCTTTTTTTCTGATTGTTCTTGTAGCATTTCTAGTGTTAGAGATTTATCTTAAAGCTCACTGATTTGGGCTTCCATTGCTTCACCCCCTACTCATTTGTTATTTCAATATAGTGATCATTTCTGAGATTTTAGTGTTAATCTTCTGGATTTCTAATCGCAGTTTTGTATTGTTTCACAATTTGCATTTATTTTGTCAATTTATTCTTGCAGTGTTTTCCTGAATTCTCTTAAAGTTTTAATTTAGTTTTTAATTCTCCTGTGTTCTCCTTGCTTTTCTAGATCTTTCTATTGATCCTTTGAAGGTGTACCTTATTACCATTGTTTTGACTTCTTTTCAGTTAGTTCCATTATCCTTTGTTCCTCAGAAACATTGTTTGGCTCTGCATTTTGCTCATTTGTTTGAGTCATTCTCTTTTGTTTCTTTGTGTAAGCAGAATTTGTTATCTCTGAGGCACTGTGGGGCTGTGATCTTTGTACAAACAGTGCAGTTGTTGGACTCAGAGCAGAAAAATCCCTAGTGGGCTTCTGCAATTCAAGGAGCTTTACAAGGGGGTAGTGGGAGGGATGTGACAGCAGAGTTCCTGGCCCTGGGTGGACCTCCTATTGGCCTCAATGTTTCCTGTGTTCAGGGCACTTAATCTGCAAGAAGTTCATAGGGACTCTTGATGGAGCTGGTTTCAAAGTCTGTTAGGACCACGGGGAAACTGGAGGCAGGATGATTGGTTAAATGTTGGTCTGGTAGCTCTGTGGATTTTGTAGGTCTGGAGCTGAGCCCACCTGAATTCAGACAGCAAAGTGGCACTCCAAAGCAATGAATTTGGCCCCCACCTCAACTTGGAGTGGCTCCTAACCACTTGGCTACGACTTCTAGAGAGCAGATCCTGCGCTGGTTGTGGATGATGGTGTGATCTGGTCACCAGGGGAGTGTGACAAAAATAACAAAAAGCATCTTTTCTGTTGCCTGTACACATCTGTTCTGCCAGGCCTCCCACTGCTACCAGTGCTGCTCACAAGGTGGCTGAGCCACCTCTGACCAGCTGTTCCCAGTCAGTCTCCCCTCTCCCCCATCCCTGCTTGACCTCTCCTCCCAACAAGCACTCCAGCCACCTCTCTTACCTTTCTTCTGAAGGTCCAGATGTCAGAATTTTCATCTGTTTTATTTTGTGTCTTTGTTTTGTTGTAGAGGGTCCATTTAGTTTTAGTCTTACCATCTTGCCAGAAGTCTAGGCTTTTTCAAAAAAACAATTTTTTAAAACACCTGTTAATTTTGATAACTCTTAAGAAATTGAGCCTGAGAGTAGAGAATTATAGCACTTTGCTTACTTGGTCATCTGTTCTTAGAAATTTTTATTTTCATAATCCGTTTTTAGCTCATTTGTCTCTGAATTATTAATGATATGTGTTCAGGTATTTTGCAGTTGTGCAAATTCATTTCAGTGACTTAATTTTGGTGTCCTGATTTTAAAATGAACATTGTTGAGGATTATTTCCTATATAGTGTGGACTTCATGCTTATAGAATAAAAGTCAGGATCCACTGCTGTATTAGTTGTTAAGTGTTGTAGAGTGGGTTCAGATTCATAGTGACCTTGTATTTTGTTTCTGAGTAAGGGTCTGGTGAGTTTGAACTGCCAGCCTTGCTGTTAGCAGTCCAATACTTATTCTACAGCATAACATCAGGCATTTATAGACAACTTCAACCACCCTATAGTGGAGTCCTGATGTGGCACTGTGGGTTAATTCACCAGACTGCAAAGCCATTTGAACTGCAAGGTTGGTGGTTCAGGCTCACCAGCCGCTCCTTGGAAACCCTATATAGAGTCACTATGGGTCGGAATCGACTAGATGGCACTTAACAACAACAACAATGTAGCCTATCTATTTCTAATTCTAATCATACCTCATCAACTACTTTATTTTTCCTCCTCCCTGGAGTCTTTCCTCTGCAAATTCTCACCTCCCTCCACACCTTAGTTTGGTGGAAGTCCTATTCTAATCCTCAGATAACAGTTCATATCTCACTCTTAAAGATGTTATTCCAGATTTCCCTAACCTAAATTATTTTCTAAATTGTTACTCTCATAGACCTTGTATTTTTAGTCTTATCACATTTTGACATTTATTAGAGGAGTGTGCAATTTTTTCCTGTACTTTCATAAGCTTCTATAATGCTGGGACCATGCTATGCTGATATTATGGCCTTGTGTCGAAGCCAGAGCAAGTTATGTACTAAGTATATTTTAACTGAAATTGGAGCAGAGTTGAAATATTGTATTGACTAGTAATTATTTTATGGCTTGGTATTGCGGTTTTGCCTAGAAAATGTCATCAGAAACATTTTCAGTAGATTTCCTTTGTGCTTTTATCTCCTCTTTTAGGACAGGTACTTCTTAAATCAGCAAGAAAATAAACTACAACAGGAACTTCATTAAAGATACAATTTAGGATATGCAAATATGAAAGGTTTCTAACTTTACCCTGTTTGGTTTGCATATATTATTAGTCCCTGTTAGATGCTTTGGTCTGGCTTAATTTAATTCAAGGTTGAATGTATATTTCACTGTGAGAGTTTTTGATGTCAGTATTTTTCACTTTTGTCTAATTTGTAATCTTAATTTAGTATTATTAGTTGTTGCTATGTAGATTGAAACTGTTTATAAATTCAGTTAATAGTACATGAACTTTAACTCCTAAATCATGAATTAATAGAAAACATTTTTGTTCTTGTTATTAAGATCTGTCTGAATTGAAAGGGGTTCAAGTACCTAAATCTTGAGTGAAGCAATAAAATGTAAATCAGAAGATAGAAGTACAAGACTCATTCCATTATCTGCTTTTCTAGTGTTCAGAAATCTGAATGCAACATGAATACTCCTATCTTTTTTTACTAGTTTGTAATTATTAAAAAAAAAAAAAAAATGCTCCTCACCATTTGATAGCACAGTGCCTCATCACCCTTATTAAAACAGTTTTTATGCTTTATAAAACAAGAATAAGTTATCCCTTATCTTCACTTTATAGATTAGAAAATTGATAATTAGAGAAACTGTAATTTACACATGATTATGCTTAGTAAAAATAAATGATATTCATCAAATTACACCTCATAGTTTACCCTAGGTTAAATATGTTAGCAGCCACAAAGGATTCAAACACAGCAATGACTGTGACTGTGAGGATGGCACAGGACTAGGCAGTGTTTCATTCTGTTGTGTCATAGGGTCACTATGAGTCAGAACCAACTCCATAGTACTTAGCAGTCACAACCCTATCAAGACCAAATTATTTTCTGCTTTGAATTTTGATTGAAAACCTGTGTTTTCAGTAATGGCATTTTGGATAAAATGAAAAAATTTTTTTTTTTTTTTTAGGTAATAAAGAGTTTTGATACGTCCCATGGTATATCCGGGGCATGGGTTAGTGTGTTAAGGCCCATTTCTTCAGAGTCATGAAGTTATACAGGCCACCATCAGATGGCTTTATTGTTGTTTAGTCCCATTGACTCAATTTCAGCTCACAGTACCCTTCACAGGCTGTCTAAGGAGCGGTTGGTGAGTTTGAACCGCCGACCTTTCAATTAGCATCCCAGTGCTTATCCTATAGCATCACAAGACAGCACAAACTAAGACCCAGAGGTGGAATATGTAGGTGGGCACTATATGTCCCATAGGCTACAGTTACACTCTGGTTTGTTTATGTTGTTACAGTTATTTAATGCCATCGAGTCAGAAAACCTGTACAGGGTTTCTGAGGAGTAGCTGATGGGTTTGATCCGTTGACCTTGCCCTTCAATCTGACCTTGTGGTCCAACACATTATTTTGCAGTGCTACACCAGAACTCACTGTAGTATACAAATAAATGTATTGCATGTTTAAATCTGTTTTCCTTGGGAATGCCAGGTCACTGATTAAATTTCAGGTGTATGATTTTCATTACCTTTCCATGTAAAATAGGTGGGAAGCCATCAGTAATATTTTACTATCTTTTAAATGCTTCAAATAGATGTTTCTGGATTATAAATGACATATAGTTAGTAATTTTTAAAACATGATTAGCTAATGTTGACTATTAATATCCTCAAATTACGTAATTTAAATTTTATTCAGTCCTGGTGTGGCGCTGGGTTAGCGCGCCAGACTGCAAATTCATTTGAATTGCAGGGTCGGCGGTTCAGGCTCAGCAGTTGCTCCTTGGAAACCCTACACAGGGTCTCTATGGGTCAGAATCGACTCGACGGCACTTAGTGACAATGACAAGGAAGTGATTACCATAAATCGTTGTAAATGTTCTCTCTTTATTCTGCAGGATGGTAAACTGATCATCTCCATAAAGGTCATTGATTCTCCTCATGTAAAGTATGCTCAGTTCGTTTCCAGTGGTGTAAGTATCTCGTCTCTCTTCATTTGTATCTTCTTCATAATGGTTAGGATCCAAATTAGACAGCAGACTGCTGTAGACTCAAAATAATATTATAGAAAAGAATCAAATGGTACATGTATTTGCTATTAACGTGAATAAGTGTAATCATAGTAAGGAATACATTTTTAAGTCTTTCAGCCTTTTGGAGTCCTGATGTGGTGCTATAGGATAATCACTAGACTGTTAACCGCAAGGTTGGTGGTTCAAAACCCACCAACTGTTCCTCAGAAACCGTATACAGTGTTGCTATGAGTTGTAACCAACTCAGTGGCACTTAACAACAATCAACTTTTTACCTTTTCTGTTTTCAACCTTAAAATCTTAACATTAATTTTCAACTGATTTTAAAATGACTCTATTATTTTAAACTGGTAAATGCCTAGAAGGTCATGAAATCATTTGAGAGAGCTAGTGTTCAATTTCTTATGACAAGTGGAATATTGAAACATGTTACCTTAATGTTGCTTTTTGTGTGCAAACTCCTGGCACCTGAGCCATTTCTCTTTAACCACTGGGGATAGTAATGTAGTTATGCCTGTGAGCTAATGTATTTCCTAGTCTTTCCTGGGAGCCAGGCAAACAAATACAAATTGAGATGGTGGTATTATGTTGAAAATGTTTTTGTGCTAGAATATGAACTGCAACCACCAGTTCATATTAAATAGGCCTTTGAATAAAAGTATTCCGGGAATTTCAGATATTAGAGAAGATAAAGTATCTATTAGCTCATTAAGTGCATCTTTAAAGTCTAATGCAGAGTGCCTTTAGCATAAGTATTTTCTAAAATTTAGTGCAGTCTAGGTTTTGATTAAATTTCTTCCGTTATAGTTGACAGTTCTATAATCCAGTAAGTAGACATTAAGATAAGTTTTCCTTAATATTTAGGTTTTTCCATTAAAGTTTTTCTTTCGTGCACATTAACTCTAACCCACTGAAATTTCTGGAATAGGCCCAGAAAATGTGAACTGTATATAGCCATAGTTTTCCTTTTCCTATTTATTTACTAATTGTTTTTCCCAGTAGCCATTAGAATGTAAGCGTGTGAGATCAGGATTTTTGCCTAATTTGTTTCTGTTGTGTCTTATATGCATTGTACAGGATGCAGCATATAATAGATATTCATTAAATATTAGCTGAATGAATGATATTTTTTTTTTCCTAAGTGGTCTTCAGTTCTCTGACACCAGTTTTAGTCTATTATTTCCCACTATTAACTTGTATATTTTTACTGGATTTTTTTCCTCAGATGTGCACTGGTTACTTACTATCAGTGTACAATTGAAAACAAAAACCTTGAGTTTTGTTATAGATACATTTTAGAATATAATCCTACTTTTTTAGAAGTTTTTATTATAAATAAATATTATAATGCCTTAATCTACAGGTATATAGCCTCTGATTTTGTATTCGTTCTGTTGGTTTGCATTGCATCATTTTCACCACACTATCAAGCTCAGTCTGTAGTAAGTCTCAATTTCTCACTATTCTAGCTCTAAGTTATCATTTTTATTTTAAGGCTGTTAACTACTTCCATAGTAGTAATAATTGAGAAAAGAGGACACTGTGCTTAAATAGTAATAAAGGGTCGAATACATCTAGTGGCAATAATTGAGAAAGAGGGCCATGTTCTCTAGATAGTAATAAGGAGTAGAGTATACCTTTAGTTGATGAATATTATGATAGACTCCAGGATGTATTAGGATTCATTAAATACCATGTAGGCAAATAAACCTAACTTATTTATCTTAGTCATTGTAGTTAAAAAATAAGACATCAGAAAGCTAAAGAAAACTTTCGCTATCCAATAAAATCTTACTAACAAGTAAGATAATGTCCTTTTCACTCATGTGATTTCAAGGTTAATCATTTACGAATGTTTTAACCTTACTTGCTTTACAAGTTTGTGGAATTTGGATTAAGAAGTATGCTTGACTTCATGCCTTCTCAAGAAGGGCTTATGTACAAATTCAAGTAATGATAACATTCATTAAGACAATCGCATATTATGATCTTTTAGAACATCAGTTTATGCACTGCTGCTGCTGTTGCTATTACCACCATGTGTTATAGAGTCTGTTCTGATGTATAGCAACTCATAGGATTTCTGTAGCTGTTAATTTTTATAATAGCAAGAAAGAAGCCTCATTGTTTTCTTGTGAAGTGGCTGGTGGATTAGAAGTACTGACCTTGCAGTTAGCAGCCCAGCTCACAACCCATTATGCTACCAGGTTTATTACAGTGTAGAAATTCTTCCCACATCATTTTCAATTTTTGTTCATGTGATTCTGCATTCAGATCACTAATTTAAAGTGATAGGTATTTGTTATTCTGTGAACAATCTCTGTGCAATATTAGAAAATTGATTCCATTCTTACATGTTATCTGTTATAAAAGAATTGTATCATGGACTTAGATGACCATTAGAGGTGATTTACTGCCTAAATTCCATGAATATGGGCCTGAACTATGTAAATTGTGAGTCATAAAATTTGGAAATGTCAGGTTGCATGCTTTTGTGTATGTTAAGACATATTGGAATATTATTATCTGTATCCAAGAGAGCCTCTGATCCTGCTGTTTGCTCAGTAAAATATTGTATGTTCAATGTCACATGTATGATTTGATCCTGCTTGTCATTTCCTTATTATTCTGTTCTATTGCTGTTGTTGGAAAATCAAGTTGGCTCCAATTCATAGCAATCCTGTATAGGCTTATCAACAAGCAGCTGATGAGTTTTAACTGTCAACCACGCTATGCAAACCAACCTTGCTGTCTAGGCTTATCCTATGGCACCTCACTAGGACTCCATTCTTTTCTGTAGGAATCACATACTCCATTCAATCACCTGTGAATCTCTTTATATTAGATACTATATCTTTGCATCAGTGATCTCTTTCAGTGTATAGCAGAGGTGTCTAATTTGAATGACAGTAAGCATAAAGGAAAATTTAGCCTCTAATATAGCAGAACAGCAAGTTGGGCAAGGATATAGCAGGGACTTAGGAATTACTGTACCAAGTGATACGAATTGCTTTACTCTACATCTCTTGATGTTATTGTTGTTGTTAAGTGCCGTCAAGTCAGTTCCAACTCATAGCAACCCAGTATAGGGTTTCCCAGGAGTGGCTGGTGAGTTTGAACCACCTACTATGCAATTCAAACCAACCTTACAGTCCAGTGCATTAACCCACAACACCACACCAGGACTTCACATGTCTTGATATGTCTGCTTTATTTTTCCACAAGCTAGCTTCTTAAACATTTTGTGAAGGTACCAACTAAGTCTCCCTATAATTGAACTCCATTAGTGACTATTCATCTCCCTTAGTCTAACTAGACATTTTTGAAGAGAAAAAACTTATTTTCCTCATGTGTCTACCTCATTGTACATTACAAGGTCAGTATTGTGAGTGGCAGTCCCAACTAAGACATTTGGTTGTAAAGTAATGAGACATTGTAGGCAAACAGAGTAATGGGTGCCTACTATTATCTCCTTTTATGACTTTTGTAATAAAAGTAGTTTCCAGTAATTAGTGAATCTGAAATGGCATGAAATGTTACTTTGTTTCAGGCTCTGTGAAATCCTAAGTTATGATGTTTCTAAATCAAACTTTGGGATGAACACTGAAAAGTAAAGTTCATATATTTTAGTTTTATGCTAATATACGTAACTGCTCCATACAGAGAGAGGTTTGAAAAGTTTATTGATTATTATTGATAAAAATAGCACAAAAAAATCACAATTAAATTTTATTGTTGTTACTCCATTCGAGCACATATAATAAAACTGTTCTTGAAATCTTGTTTTTGAAGTCTTATATTTAACATAAGGTCAGTTTACAAACTATTTTGATAGCATAAAGATTGAAGTTAGTAACAGATTGTTATTGTTAAGTGTCATTGAGTCAGTTTCCACACATAGCAACCCTGTATAGGGTTTCTGAGGAATGGCTGGTGAGCTTAAACTGCCGTCTTTGCAGTTCAAACCGACTTTGCAGTCTAGCATATTAACCCACAGCACCATACCAAGACTCCTAGTAATAGGCCTATTTTATTTTCATGGGGAAAGGATGATAACTAGAAACTTGAATTCACCCAGCCACTAAATTAAGTGGCAAAAAATTTGATTATTATTTTGGTTTGGCATTTACTTTGAAAAATAACTGTCCAGGATAAGTGTATTGCTAAGCACTTGATAGAGAGAAAAAGGAGATAAAGAGTGAAAACAGAAACTAAAGTGTTATGGGTCTCTGTAAACCATAAGGAAAATGTCTGCATAGATTTTTTTTTTTAATTATTACTGTTGTAAATACTTGTATGTACGTAACAAAACATTTGCCATATGTAAAATCTTCACTTGTACAATCTGTGACTTAATTATGATCATCATGTTCAAATATGACCATTAACCACTCCCAAAGTTTTCTACCACTCTTAACCAGAGCTCATTGAGCCCCTAAGTATTATGTCTTCCTTTCCTGCCCACTCCTTTGTTGTTATTGTTGCTAAGGCCCTTGGAATTCATTCCAACTCATGGCGACCCTGTATAGGGTTTCTGAAGAGGGCCTGGTGGATTTGAACTGCCAACAAAAATCCTCACAACTGGACCAGTAAATAATATCATACGAAGTGAAGAAAAGATTGAAGTTATATAAGACTTCATGCCAGCAGCCTAGAAATTTAATGACATACTATATTCGACAAATCTGTTTCATAAAACTTCTATAAAGTATTTAAGAGCAAATAAACCAGGTTGAGGACTAAGGTGTACCTGTCCCAAGCCATGGTATTTTCAGTAGCTTCATATGCATGTGAAAGTTGGACAAGGAATAAGGAAGACCATAGCAGAACTGATGAATTTGAGTTGTGGTGTTGGAGAAGAATATTGAAGGTACCATGAACTACCAGAAGGACAAACAGGTCTGTGTTGGAAAAAGTGCAGCCAGAATGCTGTAGAAACC